CGGTTTGAGCACCGTTTAAGCACCGGCACCGTTTCAAAAGTACCGATTTGGCACCGGTATCGGATAAAACCTAAACGATACCCATCCCTAGTCCTGACCCACGTCCAGGTCTTGCAGGTTGCTAGCTAGATCTTCAGCTGGAAATGCCCTCATGACCTCAACACTGTTAGACACAATCTTGTGTAGTCTGAGGTTGGATTGCGCTAGCATGTCTTGTGCACCTTTCAGCACTTTGATGGCATCTTCTGCACTGAGGAAAGATTTCAGGCCATCATCAACATAGAAATGTCTGTGCACAAAGCTCCACACTTCGGGTCCATAGTCCTCTTCACCCTCCATAGCCGTCCTCTTCAGGCCATAAATGGCCACAGCTGGCGAGGGACAGTTACCAAACACATGAACCCTCATGCGGTACTCCAGCACTTTGTCATCAAGTTGGTGGTTACGAAACCACAAGAATCGGAGGTGGTCCCGATGATCCTCCCTCACTAGGAAACTGTGGAACATCTGTTGAATGTCTGTCATCACAGCAACTGGGTCCATTCTGAAACGCATGAGAACCCCAATTAGGGTGTTGTTGAGGTCTGGGCCTTGTAAGAGCACATCATTCAATGAGATGCCTTTGAACTGTGCGCTTGAATCAAAGACGATCCTTATTTTTCCCGGTTTCTGGGGGTGATAGACACCAAAGGAAGGTAAATACCAATACTCTTTGTCAGGCTCTGGTGGAGGAGCTGGCTCAGCGTGTCCATTTTTGAAAATATCCTCCATGAAATCTATGAAATGATGTTTCATCTCCGGTTTCCTATTCAAGGTACGGCGAAGTGACATCAGTCGGCTGAGGGCTTCCTCTCGATTATTTGGTAAACGTGATCTTGGACTACGAAATGGCAGGGGAGCCACCCAGCTGTTGGAATCATCTTTCTTGAACTCCTTGTTCATGATCTGGAGGAAGATTTCATCTTCGATGGAGGGTGCCAGCTTATCATCCTCTTTTGAATGGCTGAAGACCAGCTCACCTAAGCTTGGCCGACTGGAAGTCAGTGTGTCAGGGGATATTAGCTGTTCCTCTATGAACTTTTCTTTGCAGATGATCCTGTTCTCACAAGGCTTGAAGTAGCTTGGTCGTCCATTCTCAAGGACATTGGTCTTGAATGTGTTGACAGTCGGCCGGTGAGCCCCACCGAGACAGACGTCACCGACTATTACCCAACCCAGGTCCACTTGTTGGGCATAAGGTTCGTTGTGACGGCCGTTACGCTGACTGCGCACTTTGTGAACTCAGATGATGTCCCTCCCAAGTAACAAAAGTATCTCAGCTGACGCATCAAGAGGAGGGATCCTGTCAGCAATACACTTGAGATGCTTGTGGCTTTGGGCAGCTTCTGGAGTAGGGATTTCATCCCTATTATTGGGAATCAGGTTGCACTCAATAAGAGTCGACAATGATAAGTGCAACTGTCCATCAGCTGACTCTACCATAAATCCAGAGGCCCTTCTTCCAGCAGTCTCGGTGATTCCTGAGCATGTTTTGAGGGTATAGGGGGAAGCCTCACCCTGGATGTCAAACATGTCAAAGAATGCTGATCTGGCTAGCGACACATTGCTTTGGTCATCCAGCATCACGTATGTCCTCACCTTTTGGTCTGGGCGACCCTTGGGATACACACTGACCAGACAGATTTTGGAACATGATTTACCTTTAAGACCCTCACCACACACGGCTGTGCATGAAGAGGCTGCTATGTCAGTGACACACTTGGTAGGCTCCCCACCATGCTCTGCAGAAGGTGGTCTGGAACTTGGAGCCCAAGGTGCCGGTCCAGGATGGAGTGCTGCAATGTGCCGGTCGCTGTCACACTCAGAGCAGTGGGTGTCAGCTTTACACTCTTTAGCTTGGTGAGTTGCTGAAGCACAACATTTAAAACATATGGAGTGCTCCACCAGGAAGCGTCTTCGCTCTGCAAGTGGTCTTTCTCAAAAGCCTCTGCATTTCCTGAGGGAGTGAGGTTTCTTGTGGAGAGGACACTCTCTGTCTAGATCAACGGTGAGTCCTTTGGAGGACTGAGAGGTGGGGGGGTTTCCTACCTCAGTTTTACTTACAGATAAAGGAGGTTTGGATTTCCATTGTTTGGAGAAGGATCCGTCACCTTTGAACAAAGCTGAACTGAAGTTAGCAAAAGCAAAGCTAGGATCATTTCTCATCTCTGCATGGTTATACACGAAGTCCACAAAAAATGAGAAAGGGGGATATGGAACTTGGTGCTCCCTCTTATAGCGAGACCCCTGAGTTATCCACTGTTCTTGGACATTGTGGGGCAGTTTCTCCGCTATAGGGTTTATTCCCCTTGCAGTGTTTAGGAAGCTGAGCCCTGGTAAATATCCCTCTTGCTTAGCAGCTTCGATCTCTAGGAGCAGGTCTCCGAGTTCTTGAAGCTTCTGGTGATCTCTATTTGAAAGCTTTGGGAAGTGGTTCAATCTATCGAAGAGAGAAGCTTCAATGGCCTCTGGAGAGCCATA